TCATGCTAGAAAATGCATGATAGAACATTTGCTAGAAATATGGTCATCTTGTCCATATGATGAGTAATTGTCTTTACAAGAGAGTCTATTATAACTAAGGTTCAATTCGACATCGTACAAACAACTACCCAAATAGGGGCAGCTATCTACTTATAAATAACATAGTAGATTTATATGTGATTTCTTTTAGTGGTCTTTATGTAATGTAAAAACCAGAATTTATTATTTTATAGTTTCATTGTAAGTATAACATTATATAATATGATTTGACATCTTTTTATAGTGTTAAAGTATATCAATTTGTATGAAAGATGTTTTAAAAATGAATTTTATTTTAGTGTTTTGTGTTTAAATTGAGGTAACACTCCAAAGTTGAACAAAGTTTCTCAAAGAAATCCATTAAAAGATCAAAATTGGAAAGTGTTAAAAAATTGTCATAATCTCCTAATGCTCACCTATCCCCTAAGCAAGGAGTAAAAGTGTTTAAACAAGCAACCTTTATAGCCAAAGTATAGAACGAAAAAATACACCACCCTTATGAGGTATTAAATAATTTTTAAAAAAACCAACTTAACAGCCGAGGGATTTTTTTTTCATTTGGTGGGGGTCAGGGGGAGGGGGATTTGTCATAGGCAACATGCAACTTTTGATTTGTTAATTTTTCATCATTTTTCTCCTTTAATTCATTAGTACAATCTATATTATTAGTTTAAGATGAGTAGCTAACTTTATTTCCAATAATAGGTGTAATTAGTGGTACTATTAGTTAATTAGGAACGAGTTGTGTTTGTTTTTATTAATTTCTATGAATAAAATCATTGCTTGAATGCTAAATTGTTTATAAATTTTTAATCAAGCCTCAAGTTTGAAGAAAAAAATAATTATTGTCAAATGATTTATGATAATTACTTAATTGATTAGAAATTAGTGATTGTAACAATTGGTTTGAGTGAAATACTTGATAGACTTTAATAGTTAAGAGAATTTGTAGTGGATCTTTTAGATAGTGAAGTTGGTTTTTTTTTCAACATTAACCCTTATAAATAACATGATTAATAATTGTTTAGAGTAGAGTGTTTCTAATCAATGTGTAACCACTATCTACACCTCAGGTTCCTACTAACAACGTGCTCAAAACCATTGAACCAAAGTAACAACTAGTTAGTATACAATAAAACCTACAAGGACATATATATGTTGTTACTATCATGGAAAAAATGGAAACTGTTACTAAGCAAACATGTACATTATTTTCACCACAAGTGGCTTTGAATCTCCACATGCCACTAAGAATAGGTGCTTAATTACTACTTGGATAGTCGGATGAATAAAATGGACCATAAGATCTACATGCATTTCTAATTATAAGAGTATGGCATTAAACATATCGATAGTTCAGAGATGCCATCAGTTGTGAAAACCCTAGAAATGCCATCATGTAGTTCAGAGATCCCATATTTATATCTAAATTAGAACAGCATGTATAGAGAAAGATACAAGAAGAACACATATGTAGGAACAGTTTTTCGGAAAGAAAATCAAAAAAATCATGCTGGATAATGTACAAAACAACGAAACGCACCTGTTACTATTATAGCCACCGCTGCAGAACTCATAGAGCTTGCCGCTATCGGAGATTACAAAAGCGGCGACATCAACATCACAGATCACGGACAGGTGTCGTGCTTTCTTAAATAATCCCGTTCTCCGCTTTGAAAATGTCACTAACCTGCTACTCTTATCTTGGATCCGCTTAATTTCGAGTTTCCTCCGCCCCATTTTCTCTCTCCCGGCCGATGGATGAATCAATCTTCTAACCCTAAGTTCTAACTTCTGATCACCGGCGTCTCTCACTAAAATTCTATTTTTATCTCTCTATTATATATATAGGTATAATCCTGTCCAAACTATTGTAAGCGATTGAAACGAATGCACCTTGTGAAAGATGACCTTAGTCCGTACTACTACTTATTATTTATATAATTATTTTCCTAAAAGTCTTTGTCGTTTAATGTCGGCAACGAAAAAATAGACTTCTCCTGTTCAAGATTTGTATTATGTCTTTTCAAATGATGTTATTTTTATCAATTTTTATGAAGTGAACCAGTAATATTGTTACATATATTTTTAGGGTTTAAGAGAAAAATCGTTGGCTACCTCTACATTTTCAGATAATAATTAATATTGTTTAGTTGCTTTAAACGTTTTCTCCTAAACCTAATGCATGGTTATTAAAGGTAGATATTAATTTATTATAAGTTTGTAACTTGTTTCATACAAGTTATAATATTATCAGTTTAGCAACAGATACATTCAAATGAATGTTTACCAATTAGCCCGATTAAAACATTGAACTTATTTTACAAAACATAAATTTGATCATTTCATCTCTTAAGTTCTTATATAATGCGAACATAATATCGAACGTATAAAAATTACTTTCATGATTGCTATATTTTTAACAACCATGTATACAATTAAACTTCTTAACCCATCTGATCATAATTAATCAATTGTCAAAAAGTATATAAACAGGTTAATGTTAAATGTGGAAAAAACCCCATTGATTATGGTTTAATATCACCACAAGGAATGAGGCATATACCAACGACACTTTCAGCAACTATGTAAGCGATATCTCGTCGGAAAAGACTATACCTACGACTTGTCATCTGTACAAAGTCGTTGGTAAAAGTGGAAAATGTCCTTAGGATAAATGTCGTCGGTACAGAGCCATTAATGCCGAAGACATGTCATCTTCAAAGGGTTGTCGGGACTGATTTTTATGGAAGAAAATGTTTTATTATAGACCTATTCCGACGACATATCGTCGGTATAAAGGTCACATTTACCGATGACATGTCGTTGGGACACCATTAAGCAATACATACGATATGTCGTCCGGAAAAGCGGTTGACAGACAACTTCCATTTTAGTACTAGAGACGACATGTCTTCGGTAAG